TTTTTATACATATAAAATATGTATATATATATAGATATTTTTATTTACTAATAAATATATATATTTATGCATATGTATATACTAATATACTCATATAAATAAATATATATAAATATATATATATATATATATATAATTAACCATACATATGCATATAATTAATATATATATATATATATATATATATACATATATATATATATATATATTGCTACACATAACCTCATTAACGCAAAAAAAAACATTAAAACATCTTATAATGTACTAAGAAAAAATTAATAATGTGCCTGAAAAAAGGGCTATTTTGATAGAATAGATCATGTATTTGTACCTTTATTTATAAATAATAGAATTGCACTATTTCTGTTAAATTCAAAATTTAATGTTCATTTAAACTAATTTATAAATTTTATAAGCCTAGCCAACCACACACAATTAATATAAAGGTAAGCTAAATAAGCTAAAGGGTTCATACCCCTTCTATAAGAGTCAAATCTCTTCCTTTTTAATGTTCTTTAAAAATTATCAATTAACATTTATAACCACTACATTTTTAGGCACTTTAATGGCAGTATCGTCTAACTCATGAATTCTTTGTTGAATCGGCCTAGAAATTAACCTAATAAGATTTATCCCTTTAATTTTAAGAGACCTTAATTTTAAATCTACAGAGACAGCAATCAAATATTTTTTAACCCAGGCGGTCGCTTCTGTCATTTTAATTACAGCTGCATCCTTTACAGCCCTTCAAATAAAAAATTATTACTTAGAAAGAATAAACTTTTTTTTATTTTTAGCCCTGTCTATCAAAGCAGGCCTAGCCCCCTTTCACATCTGATTTCCTCAAGTTACTGAATTCATCTCTTGATTTAAATGTTTTATCATCTTCACCTGACAAAAAATTGCCCCATTCATATTAATTATTAATTTTAATATCAGTGTGTTTACTTCTTTTATTATTATTATATCAGCAACTGCTGGCGCAGTTGGAGGACTAAACCAAATAAGTAGAAAAATTCTATTAACCTATTCCTCGATTTCACACTCAGCGTGAATACTCATACTAGCCTCTTTGTCTTTAAAATTTTGAACTTTTTATTTTTTAATTTATTTTTTTGTTTTATCACCAATCATTTTCGTTATAAATTTTTTAAATTTTAAAAAAATTAAAGAAATTAATTCCTCTAAGATTAATCTTAAAACGAAATTAATACTAAGAACTCTAATTATATCACTTGGGGGGCTCCCCCCGTTCTTAGGGTTTTTAAGAAAATTAATCGCCTTAACAGTAGCTGTAAAAACTTTCCCCATAGTAATTATAATTACATTGGTTGCGTCTTCTTTAGTTTCACTTTATTTTTACACTAAAATATTTTTTAATTCTTTAACAGCTAGCCTCCCTGAAAAAAAAATCTCATCGAGTAACAAAAAAATTAATAAATTCATCATTTTCTCCCTAACCGGAAATTTAATTTTATCAAATTTAGTTTTATTAATTTAAAGTTTTAAGTTAATAAAACTAAAAGCCTTCAAAGCTTTAATTAAGATGGGAGCCTTAAACTTTAAGTTAAGAGCTTAACGCCACTTTAAGATTTGCAATCCTAACTCATAATTGAATACATAACATTATAATAAAAGAGTACACCACTCGTAATTAAATTTACAGTTTAACACCTAAACTCAGCCATTTTATTTATGAAACGTTGACTTTTTTCAACCAACCACAAAGATATCGGAACTATGTATTTAATTTTTGGAGTTTGATCTGCTATGGTCGGCACTGCATTTAGAGTTTTAATCCGCCTGGAATTAGGTCAACCAGGGTCTTTTATTGGAGACGACCAAATTTATAATGTAATAGTAACAGCCCATGCTTTTATTATAATTTTCTTCATAGTTATGCCTATTATAATTGGGGGGTTTGGAAATTGACTAGTTCCACTAATAATCGGCGCCCCAGATATGGCGTTCCCTCGAATAAATAATATAAGTTTTTGACTTCTTCCACCTTCATTAATCTTACTTTTATCAGGAGGACTGGTGGAAAGAGGAGCAGGCACAGGTTGAACTGTATATCCCCCTTTATCAAGAGGCATCGCCCACGCTGGGGCTTCTGTAGATTTATCAATTTTCAGACTTCACCTTGCTGGGGCAAGTTCAATCTTAGGGGCAGTAAATTTTATTACAACTATCATCAACATACGAGTTGAGGGTATGACTTGGGATCGAACTCCTTTATTTGTTTGATCAGTTTTTTTAACCGCTATCCTTCTCCTGCTTTCCCTTCCAGTTCTTGCTGGAGCCATTACAATACTTTTAACAGATCGTAACCTAAATACTTCATTTTTCGACCCTGCCGGGGGCGGCGACCCTATCTTGTATCAACACTTGTTTTGATTTTTTGGTCACCCAGAAGTTTATATTTTAATTCTTCCTGGGTTTGGCATAATTTCACATATTATTACATTTGAAAGAGGTAAAAAACAAACTTTCGGTCAATTAGGTATAATTTACGCGATAATAGCAATCGGTCTTCTAGGATTTATCGTTTGAGCACATCATGTATTTACTGTGGGAATAGATGTAGACACTCGTGCTTACTTTACAGCCGCCACTATAATTATTGCCATCCCCACAGGAGTGAAAATTTTTAGCTGAGTGGCGACACTTCAAGGAAGAGCTTTAATTATCACCCCAACTTTAATATGAGCCATAGGCTTTGTATTTTTATTTACTGTGGGGGGTCTCACAGGAATTATTTTAGCTAACTCTTCACTTGACATCGTACTTCACGACACTTACTATGTAGTCGCCCACTTTCACTATGTTTTATCTATAGGGGCTGTGTTTGCAATTATAGGAGGCTTAATTCACTGATTTCCTTTATTTACAGGAGTAAATTTAAATCCTAAGTGACTAAAAATTCAATTTTATACTATGTTCATTGGGGTTAATATAACATTTTTCCCCCAACACTTTCTAGGACTAAACGGCATGCCTCGACGTTACTCAGACTACCCCGATGCATTTACTACTTGAAACGTATTATCTTCGTTAGGAAGTTATACCTCAGTAGCTGCCGTTATTCTATTCAGCTTTATTATTTGGGAATCTATTTCGACTGCCCGTCCTAGAGTCCATAACTTTATTTACTCTTCATCAATTGAATGACTTCAAAATATACCCCCATCCGAACACTCATACTCGGAGCTATCCTTAGTCACACATTTTTAATGTGGCAGATTAGTGCAGTGAACTTAAAATTCAAAAATGAATAATTTATTCTTTTAAAAATTGCAACTTGAGCAAAGTCCGCTATCGGACATATTTACGTATGTAACGCTTTCAGAAAATTGTCTCACCAAGCATGATTGACTTGTTGTTGAAAAACACTTTCAGAATCCCTCAAAAAAGTAGGTAACCCAAATAAAACTGCCAAAAACAATTCGCTCCTGCAAAGTCGCTCTCTTGGAATTTTCGGAAAATATAAGTATTTGTAATACACTTTATGAAAATCATAAAAGTTTTAACTTCTCACCTTTGAGAAAATATTATTTAATTATGGACAAATTTCCTCCACACAAGTCTCACAAGTAGAATGAAACAATTTACGTTCAGCCTAAAAATTTCCAAGTGCTTTATATTTGTCAGTTACGATCGCCATTTACTGTTTTTACTGGACAATGGTGAATTTCATTAAGTGGACTTTTTTCTTCGTTCCTTTGTGACAAACTATTTTTTTTCTTGTTCGTTCATTGGAATTGAGATGAGTTAATTTCCTCTTCTCATGAATCGTAAGTGTGTGTAGCACATACAGCGCTTGACTACTTGATCCACTTACACAAAGAAAAGATTCGTCGGCGTCCTGTTGATTTAAAAGTATGATTTCTTGTCCGTGTTCCTTTTCTTGGCTTGTGGGAAAGTGCTCACTCACTGAAGAAGAGAGCGAGTGGAGACATGAGTATAGGCAATTTTTATCCGTCAGGAAAGAGAAAATGAAGACAAAATGGAAAACAGAGTGGATTGTGGTTTCCTTTTTGTTGGTTACTTGGTAAAAAACCTTTTCTTCTGCAAATATGGGAGTGTGGTTCTTGGAAAAAATACGGCCAAATTACTAAATTTTCATACTTTTATATGCAACATGCAGGTGCAATTAGAAATTTGCGCTTTTGTCCTACTCTCGACATTTCTTTATGCATTATTCGTCAATTGTGGGAATAAAGTGTTATTACAAAATAATTATTTGACATTAAAAAACTGCATAGGAGGACGAAACTAGATAAATGCAGTTGTTGGTGCAGTAAAACCCCGTGTTTTTGCAAACCATTGTCCATGAAACAGGTACCATGAGGAAAGTGAGACGCTCGGTTGTTCTTGATATCCTGCAGTGAACAGGACACGGATTAAGCAAAGTGGTTTGAGGGCAACGGGCTTCAAGTCTCAACGGCACTCGACTTGATGCAATCTTGAAAATGCACATTTACTTATATATTTATTTAGCAAGCATGCATATATGCAGTGACGCAAGATGCTGCCACAAATCACATGAAACACAATGCCCACTTGAAAATTATTTTATTTCAAAACACCAATACATTTAGTTTACAATTTTTTTGTTTTGATTAGATTTTTTACTTGTTTTGCTTTGCAAGCTAATTAATAATATTTAAGATAAATAGGATTTCACTTTAAGGTAAATAGCGTAATAAATGTATTCGCAGTAATAAATTGTAAGCGTATGATGATTAAACAATTAATATTAACCACAATTAAGTTATAAGGAATTGTAACAAAATTCGAGTATGGTATACATATAAGTTTACAGAGCTTATTAAATATGTAACTAACTATGAATGTATATACTGTTGTGGAATTATATTCACTGTGTACATTTTATAAATTCATGTTTTAAATATTTAGACTCTTTATTTAATACCATGTGTTGCTTCCGAGTATTTGTTAACTGCATCGACAGATTCGATGCAGCATATATGTATGTATTTAGTTATGTACTTGTACGGTTACAGTCATTTAAGATATATTGTGCACTTTCACCTCTCATACTTTATAACCTATTTGTATAAGGTCGATTCAATCTGTAACAAGGAATTGGAATATATAATAAATCTCTTGACAAATCAGTGGTACCTGGTTCCATTCCAACTATAGCACTCATTCAGGTAATTTGTAACTATAACTATTATGTATGTACAATGCATATAAAAAGCATAGTTCATTTGTTCATCCATACCAAAGTTACTGGAGAGTCCCAGTTAATTCTTAACACTTTAATAAAACGAACATTGATATGACTATACTTTAAGAAATGTATCTTCGTTCTAAACTAAATAAACACTTACGACATGAATACATTCCATGGCACTGGAATTAAATTTCAAACATTGGAAAAGCTTACGACCAATGATGGAGAGGGATCGCATTCCCATTGTGACCGCCGCCTGAAGGTCGTTCCCCTCCAAAACGATTGTTGTTGCACATGTTGGCCCTGTAAATGGCCCTCGAAATATGAGGACGTGGGGGCAAGCGTCGACACAATATTTTACGGAAGGCTCTTTGAAACTCCCTTGACGTACAACCTGCGAGAAGGATTTTTTTCAGTATTCTCATTCATTTCAACAAAATAATTCATCATGTACAAATAAAAAACTTTCACGAACCATAGATTATCGGGTTTAGACAACTGTTACAATACCCGAGCCAGAAAAAGAGGTTGAACATCCATTGAGGAATGTTGCATTGTTCGCACAAAGCTCCTGTGAATAAATTCAATTTTAGATATTTTGGCATTAAAGATGAATCTCAGCCTGTCCCTCTCTTCGTATCGGGAGCTGCCGAATAGAAAAGTGAAAATCGCACAGTTCACACACCAAGGCCTCGCATTTATAAGTGGTAGAAAAGCTGCCTTAGTATTTGCAAAAGTGGTCAGCGCAAGTGATATCCTTCACAGAATGTGCATGCATGTAGGAAGATTGTATACACGTGGATTATAAGCTAATTTGCATACTGAAAATCTTATTGACATATCTGTATCGAGTATATAGTGAAAGGACATCGTAGATGCGGATGTTTGTTTGTCAGAGTTAATTAATTTGAATGCTTATTCCTTGTTGTATTTACTGATCGCCAAACTATTTACTAACACCACGATCTGCATTGCACAAGAGTGGAAACCATAAACCCTACCGTGAAACCATAAACATCGATTACAATGGAATGAAATGGAGTATTTCTCTTCTCGCTTGCAGATTTACTTTCTCCCATGAAACGCACATGCCGTTACAGCGAATAGAGTTGTACAATGATCAAGGCATGAAAATTGATCCCCGGCATTTTGCCCATTCACTATAACATTGGCTTACGTATGGTGACATGAATATGTCACACGCCATAAATGCCTGGGCATGGGGATATGTACAACTCTAAATGTGACATGATAAAATCAAGGGCATGTTTTGATCCTTCAACATTCTAGGTACCATACATACTTGGAACTTTATAACATATGCAATGCACACAAAGCAAGTTTAATTAGATGAAATTATCCGCTTTCAACAAATATTTGATCTCTATGATTATATTCGAATTAAACAGATTTCCCTTCAACTCCTACGCTCTCTCTCAAACACAAATCTCACTGATGGCGCAGCAAATTAAACGAGAGATATTTGGTTGGGTCGCACGTAGTAAGGAAAGCAGTACACGTTATCACGCATGCATGCATGACAAAAAGCGTAATAAAACAACTTTCTCATGAACTGGACCTCTTTTTGTTCATTTTCCCAGGGCCAGTCACTCAAAGAAACCCCTTCTCACTTTGATTCAATTGAAACTTGTGTGTGGGATGCTTTTCAAGTATAAACTAAAAATAACTTTGCACATTGGGAGAAAGTTTAAGTATTTGGGTGTTCATAACACTTTGTAACGACGAGAATGTGAAAAAGTTGTAAAAAGCCTTGGCCAATTTTCCAACACTGCGGACCGCAATCAACGTGGTTTAAACTGGAGAGTTTTTCATAATGCTATTTAAGCTATGTCTCGCACAGCGGTTACTCCTGCACCGAAATGTTGTGGTGGTCTGTCCCTTGAGGGGATCTGATAACTTAATAACCACAAGAAGAAACTTGGACTACTGCTTTCAGCAAAATGACAAAGATAGACTATATAAAACTGGAAATTATTCCCATACATACGGCTAAATCCATCATATATAAATGGGAGTCGAGAGCCCATTCATGACAAATCCCTCTGCTTCACCGCAACCAGCACGGAACATCGCAATATTTAATACAAAGAGATTTTAGTTCAAATTTCTTGGTGAAACCACTGCATAGTTAGCAGCCATATAACAGCTATAGACGATTAGTATGTGGTTTTACTTATATATCTATTTCAGCAGAACACAGTTTAGCTGAATCCAAATAAATAAGTAAATTCCGTTTTAGGAACATTGTTGACAATACGTTGTTCGAAACAATTTATCCATGATTTACAGTAACTTGTTTATGTACGTCATCAAAACTTTATAAATTGAAAGAAAGAATATGAGGTTTTTTTACGTTTTACCCTCGTGTGTTCTTGTTTGCTTATGTACTTGTTTACAAACATGCAAAGATGTGCATGCGAAAATAAGAGCGTTATATATAGCAACCTTTGTAATATATATTCGGCTGGGCTATTGAAACTTGGCAAATGACGCAAACCCCACAGATTGCAATGAGGTCAAAGGAATACTTTACTAAAGTAACCGCAAGTTCTGATATTTTTACACAACTTGAATCTGCATTGCTAAGAATACATTTTGATTAGACGATAAACCGAGTATACAACCATGTGTAGGCACACCTTGAAATGCAAGAATGACGGATAATCAGCTTGATGATGATGATGAGACCTTAATTATTCTAAGGAGGACATGACCCACACAAAGCACATTCCAGAAAAGGGTTTCTCCAACTATTTAGTGATGATTTATGCGCTCCGGAATATCTGACCCATAGAAATATATGTGCATACAAATGTCCTTCTGACCTCGTTACTGTACACGTTATAAGGTTGACTAAACTTGGATTGGATCGAGGGATACGTGAGCTGTGCAATTTAGAAATGAGATTAATTGGCATCTTCCACCAACAAGCAGAACTCTTCAATTATTGGGAGAATGGTAGATCATGCAGAAAACGAAAAGCTGGCCTTAGCCGACAGAAGCTAGACTGATGTAAAGGACATAATTGTTCACTCTCCAGTACAGTACAGTTCGTTTCACCATTTGAATTACAATTAAACTCGAGGACCAAGCAGTCATTTATGTTAACATTATTATACAAAGCCAATTTATTTTAATGTAGAGGCATCCGAGGAGGCTGTTGAACTCGGTGCATGTAATTTGAAAAGGCTGACGTCTTCTGAAACGCCATTTCTCATGAAGTCAGAACATAAGAGTTTTGGATTATGTATAGAAACCTTGCTTGTAGTTCTAGTTGAAAATATGTTATAATTCTACCATAAAATCAAGCTGTGTTTATACTTCATGTATTAATTTTCAACTACCCGTGTTTGCTCAATAGTTGTTTTATTACAACGATAAAGGGCCATGTTTTTAAAATCAAATCAGTCGTACGCAGTGAACTCTGAGAAATATGTTTGTTCGAAAATATTATCCAATGTCGGATTCCTGGATCCACCCGTTAAAATCTTTGAACTTAATTAACCATGTCGATTCAATATTGCTCTAGTGCAACAAAAAAGCAATTTTGACATTAATCAGATTGCATGTTTGTAGTAGTTTGGAGAAGTAAATAATTTTAGAACAACTTTAATTAATATTGTGTGTAAAACTATAGCAAAGTCACGCCGGGTTCAACAACACGTGGAATCGATGGAGGCAGCATATGCTTGCATACTTTGCCATTTCCTATGTTCGTCTTCAATTTCAAACAATACTTTGTCACAAGTTTGATCTTTTGGAGACCTTTCTAATATTGAAGAGTTATATTGAAATATTAGAAAGGGTTCAAACAACTCAATTCCGCGAACAGCGTACCTTTGGCGCAACACCAAGCCTTGATTCCAATACAATGGAAATGTTACTACAAGTTTCGCCACAACCAGATCAACAAACAAAGGACGACACAAAGTTTTGGCTCGACTTTCACCATAATCCAGATCGACATTTTGTTTTCGTTCAGCTACAGCCAAAACAATCATTACTTTTATGTCTTGCCCGCACATGTACATTTTGTATCATCTCGTTCTCAGAAATTTAAAATGCCATGGTCCATACATATGTACAAACGTGATTTATTCTACTACACACGTCCCGTGATGTACATACATATGCACAGATTTCCTGATTTCCCAACCTGAATATTAAATACCGAGTGTGGACAACGTATTTAAGCATGTATAATCCAGGGTAGGATTAACTGAATGTCACACGTATGTACGTACATATGTCATTCAAACCGTGATTTCCAATCGCATTGTCTTTATGACACTCGAAAATATTGTCGCGAGAGAATTTCAGCGTAGGATTAGAGAGGATTGAGGCAAAACCAATATTTGCACTTGCACATGTAAACTGAGAAATGCTGTGGGCTTTGACCGTTCGCTCTAAATTAATGAGGCCAGACACAGGACTAAATATAATTTTTAGTCTCAATTTTGCTGCACGGAACGTGATTTATGTATGTACATACATAAATATGTGCAGGAGAAAGTCAAGCAAAGTTCGCCAATACTTAAAAAATGGTCGATTCAAATTGTAAAAATGTGATTCCAAGACATGAAATTATCGAGTAAATATAGCTTTTCTGGTAGGTAAGGATTTGAATTCATTCATATCGTGTGGAAAATATCTTAATCAGAAAACTGCCGCTTTGACTGACACCTCACATGAATGGGATTCCCCGTGAATCCTTTGTTGAACCGGAACGGTTCACGCTGCAAATTTCCGGTGGCAGCATTTCCACTGTCTTGTTATATAACAACGCAGTTATGCAATGTTACGAAACGTAATACTTTTTGGATATGATCTTGCAAAAACGATGCAAAAAAATCGAACATTTGCACACTAAAACTGGATTCTGAAAGCGCAGGAAGGTAAAAAAAATATCCAAAATATATAACACAATGACAGACACCTTGAAAACAATTTGGAGATGTGATTTCAGTTTGACTGAATTATGCACTTTACGCTAACCGAGCAACATCCATCAAACAAACATTTTCCTTCTAAAAATTTTCTACTTCATCCGAAAGGTTCACACCGAACGAGTGTGTGTGGTAGGTGCAAACAAAGAGTGCTTAAACGAGAAAAGTAGAGGCCTAAAAGCAAGCCTGGTGATCAATCAAAATCCGCTGGACGGAAATGTAAAGATGTTCGTGTGAGAAATGTGAGAAGGTTGCGTGGGTCAAAGTGTGGGTGCCAGCTCGATATGTGTGTCAATTCATATCTACAGCAACCTGCATAACCAGAGAAACTTTATCCGTTCCTGGAAGAACTCCTCTTCGTTAAGCTATTTTGCACATTTAATCCAGTGCTTATCTTGTTTATAAGAATAAGCGAAAAGTAGGAGCATTTTCTTAGAATTCATAGAATTCACCCTTATGCCGTGGATTTACTTTCTCCTGCGTATCAAAAACCCTAAAATCTTGACATCGTGATCAATATTCATGCTTGACTAGGCAATTAATGTTCGCTGTATGTGGGCTTATAACATGCTAATCATGAAAATGTAGATAAAATCTAATTAAAGTCGATATGTTTTCATCAACATGCATACATACGCGACACCAGGAAATCTAGAGGTACATACATATGTAGTATTTATAATATGCGGGTAACCACAAAATTCCAATTAGTCAGAGGCCAAAGGGAGTTGCATCAACAGTTTTCTCACAAAGATTCGTATTGAAGAACACTCTATTCAATGGAGTATATATGTAGAAATGTATTCATAAAGTATACGCTTTGGCTGAGGATTCGTATTATATGCACAAACGAACTTAGATTAGAATGTCGCAGACATTTTGTGCCACTATTTATAGAATGTTTAATCCAATCCGGTTGTGGTTTATGTCCGCACGTGGATATATTTATGACGCTCGTCGTAGCCAATGGTTTTGAATGATTCATCACAAATCTTTAAAAATGCAATGCAACTGTACGTGCTTATTTACACTATGCAGTTGCATACTTACATATTAACGCAAACATTTTCTTTCAAAACAGTCTGCGTTTGGGGTAGGATCACCTTTGTTCTTGTTTTTTAAAGGGTTTCCTTATCCAATAAATTTATTCATGTCCTAAACCTACTGAAAATCGCTATGAACAAAATATTTGACGGAAATAGAATAAATTCAAAACACGGAAAGGAAAAAAATGGGGACAAATTTGATAGATTATGATAATTTAAGCACAGTGATATGAATTAAATATCAGTATTGAAATCAAAACAACTTTATTTATACTTTTCTATATTTACAAAAAAAAATATTTAAAAAATTCTAAATTCTCAATTCTCAATACGCCGCTTCAACAGATCTAGAGTCAAAATTCTACGTTTAAGCTGTATTTGTAATTGCTATGCATGTTAGACAACAATAAATCCATGACATGAATATAGGTTCGTATCATCCACACACTTTCTTTCTAGATAAACTTAGACAATTGATTGTCCTTCATATTTTTCCAAGTCCTCGAATTTATACTGAAAGGTTAGGTTAAATCATCTTTGATCAGCAATAATTTGCAATTTCCAGCGGCACAAGAATATCAGAATTCTTGTATATGGTTGTTGCTTCTTAAAATTATATTTCCTGTCAGAAAAATTTCGATTTCCATTTGTCTTAAAAACAATTTTGTATCGGAATGCAATTTATGAACGTACATAAATTGAAACCAACGACATGACCTATTGAAAGCTCATATTCATCCTTTGATCATTTTATTCTGTTCAATTCTCATAAGTAGGCAATATGTTTTTCATTTGAATGTGTTTTATGTTTTCCCAATTTGCATGGTTAGAAGCAATGAATTGGTTCAATAAAACATAAAACGTTTCATGTTATGAAACGTTTTCTGTTTGTTCTCAAAATCCAAGTTTCGCAGATATGTATGTTTGTTCATAAACAAAGGATATAATCATTTGTAAGTACGATCATGTATAAGCAAGTTTCGGCCTAGTTTCATGTTCCGATGAGTAGATATGTACAGACTATAGGCTACCTATAATGAAATGGACTTAACGACTGGAAACCATCAGCTTCACATTATGATGGATATCGTAATGCAGACACGCTTTTCAGCAACTTGCTCAGGATCAGTTATTCTCGAGGAAATCCTATAAATTCTACAAATTTAACTGATATGAGTAAAAGTATGTAATTATTGTTGTTTTACTGTTTTTCAATAAAAGTTGTACATATGTATAAAGTTATGTAACAGACTTTACACGTAACAAGTATATTAAATACTAATTATTTAGAGGTAGACTAGACTCCTAAAATCAAGAAGTTTCTCCTCTTCAAATAACTACTACATATGTGAGTATACCACGCACGTTTGCATTTCTGATATCTTGCATATACATTTGTACATAATAAAGTTTTTCGCTATATGAATATAACTTTAATACGCTAGTTGAGTCTTCCATTCGCTAATGAATACTGTAACTGGACAGGAAGAAATGATATAAAGGAGAAAGTCCAAAACCGGAAACATAGAATTTTGTAAATATCCTTTCATCATAATGTAAACACATTTCAAAGACCCAGAGCATCCTCCATTTCAAGCACGAACTTTTAGATTTAATTATAGAAAATTCATAGAGAAAGAATATCCCCATATTTATATGTACGAGAGATGTATCATGACATATGTATGTGCATGTGTACGTGAGCATATGTACATACACTCGGGGTTATTTGCATGAGCTATAGAGACCCCTGGAAAATGAAAAAAAATGTCTAGGTGAATGGATTGCGAGTCGGTCTCACAAATAAAGAAACATTTTTGAACATATCTCATGCAACATTCACCAAAAAGACACAATGCTACACGGTTCATCGACCAGAGAGCAAACAAGTGTAATGTAATGTAATGAAGGCACTGCGAAAAAGTAGAGCGCTTTATTGGTCATTTGTAGTTCCCGTGAAGTGGGTGGGTGATATCTAGGAGACGACACAAAACGGTCTTGAAGGAATTTAATTTATATGTATGTATACCTACCAACAACCAACTTTGGGTAGCTCGCCCGGAAAAAGTGAAGGTTGAGACATGAAAAATGGGAGAAATGTGAGCATCCAACGGCCCAGATAACGAGCGTAATGCATACGACCACCACCTCAGTTAGTGACCAAGGCAGGAGGAAAAGTGGAGAAAGTAGCAGTAGTGACACGGACACTTGAAATAAGACAAGTAAAAATGGTGTTGGCTGTTGTAGGTGACCACTCTGGAGAATTTATATTCCTAAACAATCCCACCATCCCTCCTGAGACGACTTGTGAAAAACTACGCGTGTGTGCAGTGCCTTCAATCCATAATACATATGTAATCCCATTGTTGCATAACGTGAGGAATAAAACGATGACAGTCAAATATATTTTCATTGATGCAACTCTTTTTTATAATAATAGATGCTGCGTAAGACAAAAATGAAGTGTGAAAAGATGAAGATTCAGAAAACGGAGAGTAATTGTTTATGTTGTTCACAGGATTTCAGTTAATGTCATAAATCTTGTCGCGTTATATGAAGACGACGAAATGCGAGGGTATGAACACCGGCAAACGAGAGAGAGGGAGAGACCATTCTTCATATTTTAAGAGAAAAACGCTACACGAGATACTCACCTAGAGGTAAAGCGACAAAGAATGGCATCCAACAGATGAGGAAGACACCAACCACAATCGCGAGAGTTTTAGCTGCTTTCTTCTGCCTGCGAAACTTGGCAATTTTTCCGAAACCCGGGTTTAATTTCCTTTCTGGAGATGAGGAAGGAGGACTTGGGGTTAGGGAGTTGGCTTGACTCCCATTATTGTGATGGTGGTGGTGGTGCCCAGCGTGATGATTGCGGTGGTGGTGCTGATGATTATTATGAGTGTCATTCGCCATTTGCTGTGGATGTGCACTTTTCCCAGGAACATAGCCATTTCTTCCCACCGCTCCTGCATTTGTCCCGGGATGTTTCTTGTTCCCACAAATCCCGGCCTTTTGAGTAGCCGGGGCAGGACCCCAAGTCATGTCCGATTTTCCACCTCCTCCTCGATGCACCCTCAAAACCACTCCGGGATCATTTCCTCCCGTTCCTTGTGGGGGTGCGTGATGATTGTGATGATGGTTGTTACATTCCTCTGCATTATTTCCCCCACCAACGCCACCTCCAATGGACGAAGTTGAGGACTTTTCTGGTCGTGCGAGCGGAGCTAGTGACAATAAATTGACGCTGTTGATGGTGTTGAGTTCGGCAGCGGCGATGGAAAGATCTCCATCGCTGGCCACGCTGCCAGTCCCACTCGCACAACTTGTACAAGGGCGCTGATTTTTGGGAGTGCCACCTGCCCCACCTCCTCCACCACCACCGAATTTGGATACCATATCTTGATTCATGTGCATTCTGTTCCCATAATTGCCACCAAGATGGACTCGCAACACTTTGAAATGCATAGAAAATAAATTGGAGTAAGTTTAATTGCAAGATTAACAAAATAATTAAAATGTGTAATGTTTATGGCACAATCTATTAATTATCTACGTTGTGAATATTTTGTGCTGCAATTTGAATGCCTCGTGCGATACACGACCGTTAATGAAATAAAGCACAGTTTCGTACACAAGTATTTATGAATGTAACTATGCCTCACTAATCCTAAACTCAATTCGTATGTAACTTGCCCTTCATTAATAATTGAGAGAACTTACCGATATCCTTGTTGTCTAATTGACCTACAAATAAATCACAAACATGTGTCAATTGGTATACAAAGTTAAGCGTTGCAATTAATCAAGTATATTTCACAAATATATTTTACCTCGTAAAGTGACGTCTTGCTTTGTTGTTTTATGTCCACATTCAAGAAATTTGGTTTGCCGAATAGCTGCCTTGTAGATCTTCCAGTACACAAAGATAATAATCAGCATTGGCAAGTAGAAGCTTCCGGTCACGGAGAATAGAACGTATCCAAGTTGTTTGTTGACCTATAGCGAAGTAAATAACATTTAAAAGAAATCATTCGAGGTCTCTTTTTAATTTTATTTACAGTGCAAAAGTATGGGTCATCCGATATTGGTTCCTTCCAACCAAGCAATGGGCCAATGGAGATGGCGACGGATGACGTCCAGATTAAGACAATTAGCAGAGATGTCCTACGTTCGAGTAGATAATTATTATTCTCAAGTTACCTCATATTTTTATGCACATATGCACAACTCCGTGTCACCCAGTATGATTGGAAGAATGGTTATTTCTATGCATATCTACAAGCTAGCAGTATCTTGATCTTGATAATGTACAATGCATTATCCTAACCTTTTGCCGACCATAATTGTTGAGTACGCCAAAGGTCTGGTAACTCCGATGTACCGGTCCACAGAAATGACACACAGCGATAGGATCGAGGACGTACCTGAATGACATATGAACGTAGATAATGACATCGAGGCAAGAATAATAGGAATATTGAGGTAGTAATGAGTGACTTACAGCAGAGTACATCAACGGCTGCCCACACCGTACAAAAAGTCTGACCAAAGTACCATCTTAAAAGAAAAAAAAGTAGAAAGGTTTCAAATAATTGAACAATATTTGATTAGAAAAAGTTTGAAGGTTATAGTTCGACAAGTGTGTGTATGGATTCACGTTTATTTTGAGCATTTATCATCCATTTCTTCATAACAAGGGGAACGGTAGCGCGTGTGGATGACTTAATTAGGAAAAACATGGGAACAAAGTTTATTAAGAAAGACCTGAAATAAATACGTACAAGTGCTGGGTAGAAATTGTCATTAGAAAACTTTTCCCCAGATTTCAGATACAAGAATATGTATATTTAGAAGTCCAGCCAGATTGTCAATTATTTGATCAGTGAATACTAAGAAAGTTACATTAAAGAGTTTTAATAACTGCGTATAATGTGCCGGTTTTGATGTCATAATTGGAAGTTATATACTGTACGTTAATATATACTTTGAGCTACAGATAAGTATAATTCTCATTTTACCCCCATTCGCATCGCATATGTTTTATATACATAGGTACTGCACAAAATACGCCTTTATGTATACATATACGCCCGTATGTATATACAGTATGTAACAAATTTAATGCTACGATGACATAATTTTTATATCGACATGATCGCGTAAATTTTAAAATTTGAAACTTCGCATAAAAATCTAAAAAGTATATACGGACAATTTCCTCGTCTCCGATTTTTAATATCGCACAAAGGTCAAAGGTCACCATTATTTTTGTGAACAAATTTGAGGCGTCGAAAAGCAAACTTCGTAGATAATTTTTTTTGAACTTTCTAGTATTTTTTATCGGATGCGACATGCGTTTTGAAGAAAAATGAGCTTTGGTCGGACCGTGTACGATTTTTTTGACGCCCACAGGAATTTTTCGCCAAGGACAGGTTGAAGACCTAAAATCGCCACCGCGGGGAAAATTCGAAAACTGAAATATACGTTAGCATATTGACAGTCCCGGTATGCAAACGTATATTTCAGTTTTCGAATTTTCGCCGCGGTGGCGATTTTAGGTCTTCAACCTGTCCTTGGCGAAAAATTCCTGTGGGCGTCAAAAAAATCGTACACGGTCCGACCAAAGCTCATTTTTCTTCAAAACGCATGTCGCATCCGATAAAAAATACTAGAAAGTTCAAAAAAAATTATCTACGAAGTTTGCTTTTCGACGCCTCAAATTTGTTCACAAAAATAATGGTGACCTTTGACCTTTGTGCGATATTAAAAATCGGAGACGAGGAAATTGTCCGTATATACTTTTTAGATTTTTATGCGAAGTTTCAAATTTTAAAATTTACGCGACCATGTCGATATAAAAATTATGTCATCGTAGCATTAAATTTGTTACATACTGTACACGTTGATAATGCGTTGAAAATATTACGCCACATTCAACCACAATTTAAAAAATGGAAAGGCATAATAAAAGGTTCGCCATCAATCGATAATAATGCAATGTATGCACCTTTACTAGATTGAAGTAGAAAATCAAAAAAGCTTTTGAGAAAGCAGACTCTGAAACGGTGTGTAGCTTTGTCCGTTTGACAGAGAATACATAGAATTCCTGATAGCAAACTACATGTATAGGGTTTTATGTAAACTGATAAGTTTCTACATGTCACATGTACATATTGAGGGATGTGGATACGCAAGTATTAGGAAGTAAACTCAAATATGGTTTCATCATTGTTTTTACGGAAGAGCTGCAGACTTGCCAGATTGTTAGATCAGGAGATGGAAGAGGTCAACTGAACTGAAATGACATTTCGCAATCTTGAAGACTATAAAGCATATCATCATTGCCTAAAATGCATAAAATGAGTTGCTACTGGAATTTGATCACTTAAAAACGAAACGAAACGACGATATTAAAAATATCTATAGATTTGACATCCTTTGATACATGAGCCTATTTTATTGAGATTATCAAAAAAAAATTGTAAGTTTTAGCAAAGGAGTTACAACTTTTCTCATATTACCTCAACATGGTCCTGAAGATAAAATTTTCAGTAAATTAATTGTACTTGACTGCAGATCTTGTGCGTAGCAAACATTTTTTATCGTTTTTAACGTCTTCCGCAAAACCTACGTTGTCCCTCAAGGGACTAACTTGTCCAGACAGCAGACACATAAAGGGATAGAAAGCAAATCAATTATCCTGCATAATGGATAAGCTCTATATTGAATTTAAATATTGACTATAATGGTTTATTGAGTCAAGGTGGAAACTAACATAACTTTATGTTTGAATCTACTTAAGTGGGTGCGAAATTGACCAAGTTTTTCACAAACCGGAGGAAATATGTAGCACAACGCAATTTTCGAACCATATTCTTAGAAAAGGTCCAGAAAATATTTTGATTTCAAAATAGTCGTAAAGTAGGAAACGTATTTTCCAACTGATCCATCCAGTGAATGTAAATATACGAGCATTTTTTAGTCAGTCTGGAAAGTCCAAGTCCTACTTCCTGAATTTACATGAAAAAAATTTTACGGATACGCTCCAAGCTTCACTGCTCTGGGGACAATTATATGAATGGTACATTATCTATTATCACTCGGGAGAGAGAAAGTTTACACGAATTACTTTCGCAGTTAAAATACAATTCAGACTCTTACTTTCCAATTTAGTGAATAGCATTGTACTCAATTTTTTATTCTGCTTAACAGGAAGCTCAGGGAGTGGACATGAAGTGAATGCTTTTGTCATTATCCCGCAGGCATTTCGAGGTATTCTCGCATGAAGGAGTCACACCAATGCGGATTTGGTTCCAGAGGTTTTTTTACATAGGTAATTCCCCTGATACCTTGAAAATTCAAATTGGTTAGCTGAATTTGAAGTTGGAAACAATTGAATTGTAATTCGAGTTTGAAGCTATTCTTTTGTGCATTCGCTCTCTAACCAGACCAACGAAGAGACATTCTCCAAAAACCGCATGCATTTGAGTGGGTGTGAGAAGATTTGTTTGCATGCATTCTTTCTTTCTTTGGAAAGTTGGAGAATCTGTATTTCGTGTTTTAAGGTTGGATTGGCCCAAATATCTAATGGTACACGGAAAACTTCACACATGAGCAAATGCATGCATGCAAGTGTCATGGAGGTAGGATCCGCATGATTCGATCAGCTTTGTCAAATAATGGTGAAGGACATTTGCTTCACGATTTGACCGCAGCCTCCAGTGATATATAATGCAGGCACACGTGCATCTAAAGGATGTACCTGTGTCAAGTTCCGGCTCTATAAATATTTCATTCGACTTTCTACAGTGGTGTTCATGCCATTTGCCCTTGTCTACTAAGTAAGTCGGCATATATTGCGCTGTAAATCATTTCCTACATTTTTCCATCTAACAGGTATTCTTTTAAAAATGCAACAGGACGTGACTCACCTTCCGGTAACCTCAAAAACTGCAGAGAAAGGTAAAACGGTCGTTCCCAAGAGTAAATCCGCCACCTAAATTTGATACGGCGATTTAAGTTAGTATTCATACAAAATTTGTAAATGATGAGCCTATTTGAAGAAAAATACCGCCAGATTAACGATGAGGTAGTGCGTCGAACTTCTCAAGTTTCTACTGACAGCAACTGACATGAGGACCAGCACATTTCCAAAAATAGTGAACAGAATGATGAGACCGAGTGCGGCTGCTTTAATCAACGTTCCAATCAGCTCCGTATTGTCTTTGGAACATAAAAAGCTCAGAGGATTTCCATCATTATCGGAACAAACACCGCTCCGATTATTGAGATCCAGGTCAAAGGGGGGCTGTTGGAGGAGTCCGCTGGAACCCAAAATGGAATTGGACGGTGAGAGATCGCCCAAAGCTGATTCCATTCCAACGGTTGTGCTGCTGTTGTTAAATAAGTGCAGGTTTAAAGGGATCTGAAATTCAAAGTAAAAAATATTATTGAAATGTAAGCATGCGGGTATTTACTCGTACATTTTATGTAAAGTGACGGAGATAGGGAAGGATGATGATCGTCAATATTTGCATTCCTTTCACTTTCGGTTCAAAGCATCCTTATTACAATATTCATGAATAGATAAATAGCGAGATAGTTGGAATATGTGTGGCCTAGAGATATGATGATTGTGTGCGCGTAAACTTAAGAAATGTTACGTTTCAAAGAAACTCGGCGGAAAGTATATCATTCTTAATTGTGGTGAAGTAAAATAGGTAAATGAGTATGTGGGAGGAAATATGAAATAAGTATGTCAGCACATATGTAATCATGATTGTTGCTAAAATTCTGTGTTTAAATTATTAAATGTACATATGTACATCTAAATGTACAATGTGCTTGCAGCCCTGCAGGTTTATGTTTTTGATGGTTCCTTGCAAGTACATACTTGTGAGTGACAACGGTTTGAGTACTTCAAGCGTTAGATAACCATAATAAATATGCTAAACTAATATTTAAAAGTTGCATCATGCAGAGTGGTTTTCGTACTGCAAGTCTAAATATAAGATTCGTTTACATTTATGTATGTAGTTGAAACATGAACACCACATCCTCAAAACTGCGTCGGAACGTATTGAATCGCAATTACAATGTCGACTCGTATTTACATTCCTTCAAACTGCAGTATTTTGATGAGCGCAATTCCGTTGAACTCGACATAGCGTTCATTGGCACTTTCTTCCGATATTGTGTGCCTAAGCAAGTAAACAAGTATTGTAAATGTGTTATACAAAGTCAACATCATCACGGAAAAGCATGGCTAAAGATTCGCATTTATTTGAGTTTGAGGTAAATTGAGGGAGTCATGTGCGAAATTGAAATAGTTGTGCAAGAGTTCCTTTCTACGTTAAGATCTGCAACCGACTTATAAAAAAACGAAGTGGAGAAAGCGATTAGTACGAAGGAACTTTACTCAATGAACTGAATGTCGAGGAGGATGTGAAAGTTAAACAAATGTCAATTTGTTCACACGAATGAGATTATTTTTTGCTATATTAGTTTCTACTTCCCATGTGAACTTCCCTTCCACAAATAATTGAACAATGCGCTGGGTGCCAATTCGTTCCACCCGATTAGAATTTCATGTTTAAAATGAAACCATGTTTGCCATTCACAGTGTTGGCGAATGACGGAGGACGCATTACTCGCTCTGTCCAACACAATCCACATGGAAGAAAACTTTCTCTGTAATAGATAAGATTTTGCTGAGGATTCCCCCTCGAACACACATTTTGCTTGCATTGGACCTGATGGAAAGTACTCACAATGGAGGCGCAAACCATGTTCATCCGGGATTATTTTTTGATCATGTTAGTTTGCAAGAGGAAGTCTTTAGAAACAACATTTGGCACGGCACTTGCGCAGATGCGCAAAATTCAGCACGTTATGGGCGCAAAAGTTCGCAAAAACGAACGATTTTTCGGCTCGCGCTCTACCGTGCATGAAGAATCATGCGTTTTTGCGAACTTGTGGCGCCCGTTATGTGCTGAATTTTGCGCATCTGCGCAAGTGCCGAGCCAAATGTTGTTTCTAAAGACTTGCTCTTTCAAACTAACATGGTCAAAAAATAATCTGGGCTGAACATGGTTTGCGCTCCCATTGTCAGACGGATTACGAAACTACTACAGTAATACAATATTTAACTGTCATAAAGCCATACCAAGAATTCCATTAAACTAAATATGCATCATAAATCAGATTAGATTTATGATTTTTGTGCAAATATTTGAAACTCATTATTTCGTAAAATTTATCAACTTGAAAGGGTATTTGCTCACGTGGAGGAACTCATCTACTTGTATATTTATCTGTCTCATACACTTTCCTATGTCTTTTCTAGTTTAAGTTAGTAGAATTTCAGAATCGCATCAAGTCACGTGTTTCATTCGGGTTGAAGGGTTGAATTTAAATAATGAAGGATTTTTTTCAGTTAAAAACAGCAATGCTATGCATACAGCAGGAAATGTAACCTTTTTTCCACTCAAGGAAAAACGTAGATAAACTTCCATATTAGCTAAATCTTGGTATTCTGCATCTGTCTCCATCCCATCTTATGTATTTTAAAGAACCTCTTAGTCATTCTTGTACCTTTTTCTTTATAAAATTCAATTTCACGAGTGTAGAATTGAATGAAGTGCCACGTGCTGAATTCAGATTTCATTCTTTTCAACGGAAGATGAATCAAAAACGTGACTGAATTTTAAAACTTTGGATGCATACACACGCTGAACTCGTGCTGATATTTTGCTAATATTTCTGAGAGTAAACTTGACGAGGATATCATTCACGCACGCATTCGCTAGAGAATTCCTGACCATTCTTTGTATCTGTGATTACCAAACATAGAAGAAATAAACATTATTTTACCCATACTCGCCATAAGAACATTACCAATATGTCAATAGTACAAATAGTGCAACCCAAGAAATAGTCTGAGCTTCTCCTCAGAGTATGTATTTAGTTGCCGTTTGGAAAAATTTAAGAGACCGGCTACAAAAACACTAAGCCTGATGGACCTCTGAGAAAGCATTCCATTACACCTACACAAATGCCAACGTGACATTATTTATGGTGAGAGTTGTATATATTCCTGATGGATATTTTTGCTGGTCACTCTCCATCAAGCACACTTATGTACCTACGTGAATGAAAAGCACTTGAGCAGAACAATACAAATCGATAACGTGTCCCGATAAATGCGAAACGGAAACATTAATGGTAATAAAAGTCTGTCCCCGCACACTCCACGTGGAATTTGGATCTAATTAAGAAAGCAGACGCACGACGAAATGGAAATTACTGGGGGAAAATGTAACACTTTCTTGGATCAGACATCACACCGGTTGACACGGCCTTTACGCTTCCGTTAAAATTGGGCCATCCCGCATTTGCATTGAAAATTATGATAATGTTATGCAGAAGATTGGACATAAAATAATTTCATTACCAACAAGTAGGCATCTGGAGAAAGTGAATAAGTAGGCGATGGTAATGGAAAAAAATTCACAACCTTTAGCTGACTGAGTAGCGGAGAATTTTTACGACAGGCAGGTGAAGTAAAGTAGGTGAGTGGATGATGTGAAATGGGTTTCAAGTATTTGAAGAGGTCCGTAAACACGGAATTTTATCCTTCAACATTTTTTTCTCTTCGGGATTATCGCCTCATGGAGAGAGGGAGAGAGATTAGATAAACTGCTAAGGTTTGTGGGCTGGTGAAAGTCTTACTTTTCCCCAGTCGATTATTGACCTTTAAAAATATCTTTAAAAGATATCTTTAAAATTTTATTCCTTGTTACATTTCACGGACAATTTAATAGGCTCTATGGACCAGAAAACCAAATTAAGTCGTATCTATTTGATAGAGTAAAGCATTCAAGGGAAGTTGGAAAACAGGTTTTCCTAACAAGTGTGGGTGTTCGGGGTCAAATCAACACTCGTAAAAGCTAATTGTCTAGTGAAAGAATGAACCTAGAATCCATTACATAAATAAGTATAGGACAGATCCGATGAACGAGAGAATGTGGATTCTAAATAGAATCTATCGACTATCGAGTAATCTGGTCGCAAATATCAGAGAAATGAAAAGAGTATAGTTAGCGTTGCTGAAGAGCCTCGGGCGTACCCACATCGTATGTACGGTAAGTATTAAGTACAAACGAAATATGACTATGGTAAAGCTGAAACCAACTGCCCAAACAATTTTGAAAAAGCTCTCGAACAAAAATCACATAGTTGAAGATTCCAAGCTTCAATCTCTCAAAAATTTTGTAGAATTTTGACAGGGACCCGAGGAGAATAATCAAATGCTAAAGTGAAAACCGTAGCAAAGCACTGATGCCGGTTGGTGGAAAAAGCTTGGTTCTACCCTCAAGGACATTAGTGGACAATTAAAAATAGCTAAAATGTACATCTACAAGTTATAAAAATTTCATTTGATTTTGATATAAAATTCACTTTCTGCAGGCCATAAACAAAGACTTTAATTACTACACAGCCCTTATACAATATGTTGAAGATACAGGACGCGGACGCTAGCTCATGATAATAGATGTTGAATGGGCAAGACTCATTCGTATTCTAAAAAATATTCAACCCACTTGTCAACGACTGCTTGGTCTCTATATGTCTGGCACTTTACCCAGTTTATCTTATTTACATTAAAATGTAGGGCAAGCATTTCAGAAATGTAAGCACAAGTATTTAGGTACATATTTAGGAAGGAAGGAAGCGCTTTAGGGCCGCTCTAACGCTCTTGGTATTCTGTAGCCTCCACGTTGACAACCAAAAAGAAAGTCAGCAGTGCTCCCCCATGTGCAAAATGTAAGTACGTATAAATTTCAGGATATGCTTAAGAAGATGAAATTCGGAAAGGAAAGCCGTATTACTCTAGCAATTTAATAAAGTGTTTTTAATTTCCTAAAATCTCTTAACGAAAGAATGCAACATTAGTTTACATTGGATTTAATACTAATAATTTGTCAATATTATCCACACAGTGTTTTGAAGGTAGTTTTAATTTATAACTTTTTGCAAGGTTTTGAATGGATTCTAATGAGTTTGAAATCGTTTGCAATTTCATTTAAGCACATCGAAAAAGGAGCACTGTATAAAAACGTGTGAATTTTAGCACATTTTACAATTCACGTATAAACCGTGTCTATTACCAGGAATCCTTTCTTGACTTTTCATTTCAGCTTTGAGAAGGTTCTTTCTTCTCAAACCATTCAGCAGAAAACGTCACCCACCAACTTTCTCTTGTATTTGCGTACCTGGGAGTACACCGGAACGAGGAAGGGGATGTGTTGCATATAATAAAAGCATGTAACCAATTTGCCGTTAAATTATACTCGTTTTCAATTTGTGCAGAAATTCATTATTCCGATGTTTCGAGCTAATTCAGTTTTCTCCATTTAGTTGTAT